TAGAGTTTGGATACGAGGACCATATAAAAAAAATACGGTTGTCCTATTAACATAAGTAGAAACAATTGCTATATGGTGAATATATAAATTAGTGCAATCACAGTAAATGTGTACAGCATTTTATATGTACTAACTTCACTTTTTTCGGTACTGACTGGGAATATTTGGAATGCATCTTTATATTTAAACATGTTATACGAGAAACCAATACCCCATATTTCTATCTGCATAATATTGCTATTTCAACACCCATACATGACATGTATTTCTTTTTGTCAGCTATAAGAGTTAAATCAGAATGAAAGTATTTGCCGGACAACTGATACATACCCTAGTAGCCAGACCCAGTTTTGTATGCACTTGGAGGTCCAGAGAATTTAACTTCAGAAAAGGTTTTAAAGGGGTCCAAGAACTATTTTTGGCTTGGCAACACATTTTCAAAATGTGGCGAAAGGTCAAAAGGTCAGGGTCAAATTTCATAGGTATAGGGTCATCATATCTCCGCAACCACTGGAGTGTGCTACTGTTTTAAAAAAAAATGTAGTTTTCCAAATAAATTACTAAATTACAATTGTTTATTTCATCTAGGGATGCTGCAGTAGAGGGTTTGATAAAATGACGGAAGTGTCCGGCCATGACCTTTCCCATGATGCCAGGATTTCCTCCATCTGCATTGCTATGTTTTTATCAGTTGGCGTTGTAAACTGTAAGAATAAAGGTTGAAACGTTTTTATAATATAAAAAAAAATATAATATAAGACGAACATGTTCTAATAAAAAAAAATATTATAATATAAGAGGAACATGTTCTAATAAATCAAATGTTTTAGCTACTGTAGCTGCCCAGAAAAAGAATCAGTGGTTATTATATAATTATTTTGTTATACTGTTGTTGAATATGTAGTGCTTAATCACCCTCTCAGAAAAGTGACATCAGATATTTTAAAGTATCAAGAAAAGGTCTTTATAGGTTTAACTAAACACAATATTCTTATAATTGTAATTATTATTCGAAGTAAGTGATTGCTAGATTTAATTCAACGCCATGCACCTGTGCACTATTTTGCCAGTAGACATTGTAGTCGTTGTCATCCTTGGGATTGTGAGATGTTGTGACCATACTTGCTACACACTTGTACTTCCTTATTGTATAAGGCTGAAAATAACATAAGATACAAACATTCACAAAGCAAGATAAAGAGTTGATGTTGATGATGATGTTAAAGATGAATATGATGATGGTGTTGATGACTGTGATTATGATTATGATTATAATAATGACTAAGATATTGGTGATGACTTTGATGAAGGGTGTTGAACAGATGATGATAATAAATGAATGACAATGACTATGATGATGATGATAACAGGTATTCACGAAGTATGATAAAGAGTTGCTGCTGATGATGATGAAGATGATGATGACTATACCATAATGATGGTGAAAAAATTATGACTATGATAACGATGGTTATAATACAATTATAAGGATAATGACTGATGATGATAATTATGACTATGATGATGATGTTGATAAAGACTATGACAATGACGATAATAATGATGACTATGATAATGACTGATAGTGACAACGATGATGACAATGATGACGATAGTATTCTTCTTGTACCTATATACCGTTTACCCTCCTGCAAGTGGCAAATCTCACTTGTTAGTTTGGGTATTGAAATGAAATTTAAAAAAATGCTGCTACTGACTATGATTACAACTATGATTATGATGTTTATTATGATAGTGATGACTATGGTGCATGAGAATATGATAATCATAATGGTGATGATTACAGTGGTGGCTGGCTGTAAATGGGTGAAATTTTAGTTTACTGTCCTGAGCATTTTGACTCTTTTGACGAAAATCGGTTGAAAAATGGGACAGTGCGGCCCAAAAAACACCCCCCCCCCCCCCAAAAAAAAAAAAACGAGGGAGAAAAAACATGTCAAAATATGTGAAAGATCTAACTTTTTTATCTGAAGTCATATTATGGCGATGTTGGTGCCTATATATATTTTTGAGGCCAAGGAATTGATTAGTGTTGGTGTAAAAAATATTTAAAATTTAATTATAGTGGTCAAATTCTAAATGTTATGATTATTTTTTTCAGGCATTACATTAAGAGTTCAAGATACCCACTAAGCCTAAAGGATAAAAAAATAAGTACAATTATTTTTTTTTTCTGTTATTCATTGTAGCAATGACCATTACCACAATTTATGTACCGTACAGGAATGTACACATATTTTAATGAGCATTGTAGGCCTTCATCTATCTTACTTTTAGTGAAGCAACACACACAAGGTTTCAATAATAATAATTTCTGTGAATTTCTTTTTACATGCTACCCACATAATACAATAATTAGAATTGTATTGATTGTGTGATGATTACTGAATACTGTACAATTACGACAACACCCTCGCTACAATCCCAGGATTTAAAATGTTTAGAATATTTACAATGCAAGTATCTAAGCTAAACTGGTGTTAGCCACTGTATGTGTAAAAACCAGTGAAGTGGATTAACTATTGGTAATGGTTTTATCCCGTTTGCTGCTCTTCTTTTGTGTTTTAGCAGACGGTTGAAATGAAAAAAAAATGAATCGTCTTCTAGGTTTGGTCTCCTGGTGTAGACCTACTGGCCAATCACAACCTGAAACTGGAAATAAGTCTGTAGCTTGGGTGGGTGAGTTTACACTTTGTGTTCACTAATGAAACCCCAAAATTATTGTTCTTGAAACTGTCTTTTTGTTGCAAAATTATGGTTACCATACATACAGCATGTCTATGGTAGTATATATATATCCGTACATTATCAGTCATAAAATGTATAGTAAGATAAACGTAGGTATAATGCTCATTAAATTCTTTTTTTAGGGTGGAAATGGTCATTCCTACAATGTTTAATGATAGAAAAAATAAATAAACTGTACCTATTTTGCCTACAGAATGTACCTTGTACCTTGCACTCTAAAATAAATCACGTGTTTAGTTTTACTTTTATATTAATACTTAATTCTTACTTTCAGAACACCTATTGTGATAAAACCTACATGTGTTTTGTCACAATAAAATTGCATAAAACTGGGTTTTTTCCACCTTATTTCCTTGCTGGTTCCATACCTTGGAACATAATCAAACATATTTTTTCATCTTGAATTCTTCCCACCAATTTCCAATGCTCAAATCTGATCTTGTATAGCATCGTCGTCAACAGCTCCTGCCCCAGGTCAGGGATCATCTTTTTCCATAATTTTCAAGAGAGTACAAAACATTCTTTTTATAAACAATACATATAGAGGGGTGACCGTACTGTGAACTATGGCAATTTAAGGGTTTAAAAAAAACCTTATTTAAGCGATTTTACATAATCACTATTTTTTTTCTCCCCAACGAATATGTTTTTACTCCCCGAATGGGGGTGGGGGTGAGCTCTTTTCGACAGATGCCCAAATGTACCACCCACTAGGTAGTAGCATTAATGAAGGCAGCATTTACTTCAATTGATTGGTTTTCAAAAGAATAGAGCATATAAATACCATTACGTTCAACAGGTTGGCAAAAATCTTTTATATAAAACAACAAAATTAATCCTTGTCATTTGATTGGTGGATTTAATATCATTTGACATTGGGCATTTACACCATTTACTAATAGCAAACTAAGTGATTCTCCCAACCCCTCCCATCAATTCTGCATGTAATTTAGATCCATTTCCATTCATTTTGTGTATTTAAAGCTTCCAACTAATATTATGTATTCATTAGTTGAAAGAAGTTAGGCTGTTCCATTTGAAAAAAGGTAAACCTAACTTTGTTTTCAAAATATATGAAATAACAAGAATCTATTGTAATTGTTTATATAAAAAAAAAAATAAATTTTATATTCTTGGAATGGAAAAAATCTTCTCATTCATTGAAAGGTAGATTGTGCCATTCAATTAAACTCTGGCATATTGAATGGAACAGTCCATCTTTCATATTCTTCCCATTGCACTCAGGAACATTATTTTTATATCACTCATAGGATTAGCCGAATGCCACCATACGAATTCATCCCCTAGGCAATGAAGTGCATTAAATTATTAACAATACATTTACAATACACAATGGAACTTGAATTTTGAATAGTGTAAAATGTTTATCTCTTCATACATTTTCTGCAAACACAAAAATAAAATCTAAAAAGAAAATTCACTTCAATCGATTTAAAACTTTATTTGAGCTAATAGACATTAGTAAACTAGAAATTGCAAATTGCAAGTGAAGTGCTGCAAAGTACAACTGCATATAAATGTTCTTCAAACAAAATTATTTATGCGAGTCAAGTGAAAATAATTAATAATCAAAATATAACAAATAATATGAGACACGACCCATTGTCTATATTAGAACACTGATGAGCTGACGTAGAAACATAGTAAAAACGAGCTTTGGTACCGTGTATGCCAGTCTACAACAAGCTTCGCCTAAATGTAATAATTAGCACGCTGAAATAGGCTAGTAAATAAGTTTAACTGGGTTCGTAAATAATATTGGCCTCAAAATATTGTGGCTGAGACATGGGCGGATTACGTAGAAATAGGAAACCTAGAAATATAGTAAAAACACTGAAAAGTAATACTCGAGCGTCGTTAATATATTTTTATCATATTTTTAGCCCCAATAGGAAAAAAAAACAAAAAAAACAATAAGTAAATTATTAAAATAATATATTCATAAAGGATATAATATAATTATTTGAATATAATAATGCAGAACCTAAAGCTATTCACATCACAAATAAATCAAAGAAACATGTGATGCAACCGTTAAAGTGGAAGAGGGGTTTACAGTGTAGTCATACCTATACACTTTTATGAAAACAATGAACTGGATTATCTTAAATTTTAAAAAAATCATAACTCTTTCAGGGGAAAGAAGAGGTCACACAAGTATGTTTTCTACAATGATGAAAATCATAAAAAAAAAATTGGATGACATTTAATTCATTTACAAATATTTACTAGTTACAATTTTTTCCATTGATAAACATTATTAATTCATATATCTGTAATAGGCTTCACATATGACCTAAGCATCAAGCTAAGGATGTAATCATATCATATAATGCTGAGGATAAACAACTATAGCATACAGATACAAACTCTTTCAAACCAACCTAATAGAATTTAATTTCAGGCGGTCTTTTAAAATTAATAAAAAATATTAATTTATTTGATTACATGATCTAAAAATGAAAACATATAAAGAATACACTTCATTTTACATAATGCAACGCTGAAGACACTAAAAATACAGAAAATAAAACATACATTAATTAAACAGGGTAGACAAATCAAAATCCTTTTGTTTGAACAGGCTAAAAAAAAAAAAAATTATTATTACTGATGTTGATAATTATTAATATTATTAATTGTTGATATAGTACCAAGGTCCTAGAGGCTGGAAGGGAAGAACCACATTTACATGTCAAATATTAACAATTTTTTTTTATAGAACCATAAATTGATATAGCACCTTTCACAATCCGCAAATATTTAGAAGCGATTATACAAGGCGCTGGAATCATTATTTTCCTGGTCACTGGATACTAACTGGCAGATCTGCACAGTGTGCAACCTTCTCTGCTCACTGGGGGAGTATTCCTGGTCAATGCTGCTTGAACGTGCACAAACCATACATTCAATGCCATACAATCAGGTACCCATTTATACTCTTGGGTGGAGAGAGGCAAACGTAAGTAAAGTGCATTTGCCCAAGGACACAAGCAAGGCGACGAGCGTCGGTCTCGAGCTTCCGATCTCACAATCAGAAGTCCGAACACTTTACAAGCTGCACCAAAACGCTCCTACAATGGTAGATCCAAGGTTGGGGCATGGGAGAGAAGAAGACAAGAAGGAAGAAGAAAAGAAACAAGAAAGGGGGGTGCTTGTACTCTAAAACAAGCTATTTTATAAATTTACATTCCATGGTACCACTGTCTTGAAAAACACTGATTTTTAAATACAGAAAGTAATCTTGTTTTTATGCACGTCACAAAGTAATTAAATAGACTTGGCAAACTATTCATGTTGAGATCAAACAACATTTTTTATTAATTATGGTAATTAATTGTGGTAATCATAAATTGCTATCAACTAATGTTAAGTTTATATGATTTCAAAAGAATAAGAAGTATCTTAATCATAGATCCAATTAAAACGTTGAATGGCTCATTTAAGTATATATAATCTGTCATAAAATACAGGAAACAATAAAATATCCAATTAAAACATTGAACAGCTAATTTAAGAGGTTTAAATATGTTAAAAACTTGTAATCATATAGGTAAAAATTATAGAAATAAAACAAGGAAGTTGATTTCACTTATTTGTGAAAAAATTCTGGAGTTTACAGCATTTATATCCAAACACTTACATTTAAAGTGGGCACCTCAATAAAAAAAGTCACAACTAAATTTCAAATAGAGATTGTAATGCAATATCATAGTAAATATCAATGTTCTTTTATTAATATAGTTATCAATGAAATATTATAATCATAGGCGTGTAACACAAGTTATCTCATCTAATTTATGACCCTCGTGCTAAAAAGCTTTCCTACAAACTGTTTATCACTCAGTTTGTAAATAAATAACATAGCCATCATTCCAAATGACTACACTTTCATTCAAGGCCAATCATAACATATATATTATCACTCATGTTCAAAATTCTGGACAGAAATTTTCTACAACAAAAATTAAGGATATGACTGCAGATTAAGATCATACTTTCAGTAATTAAAAAATCATCTCTTGAAGCTTTTTGGATAAAAGACTCAAATGATCATAAAAACACATTCTTACATCTTTGGATAATAGCGACATTAATAACCTACATAAAATATGAATTTTATGTATACAATATTAAGTAAGAAACTACTCTTCACGTGTTAGGCATGGATTGTTTCTATTCTGTGCCAAAGAACGTTCTTTGGCATGTTAAAAGAATGGTTCCTTCTTATGGACCCCATTTGTACTGCCACAAAAAAAAAGCCGTTCTTAAAACAATGGTTCTTAAGAACGGTTCTTTTTTTCGTCAGTAGAAACAGGCCCCTGTAAGTAATGTCCAACCATGCTTAGGTTAGCAGTAAGTTTAGTTTTAATACTAATCTATATTTCTGATTTATCCTGACAAAATTTAAGCACATCAAGGCAGCTAGCTTATGTTCGCGCTATAATGTTGAAGCTTATTGAACATTATACATGTTGTACCTGCAAGTAGTAGGTTCTTATCAATATTAAATACGATAATTATATATCTAATTAGCATATTTTTCAGTCATGAAGGCCAACTCAGACTGCATCCTGACACGATTTATCATCGGGAGCAGTCTTGTTATCATGAGTCAAGGAAACGGCTGTCCCTGATGCAGACCATTCGTAGCAGCATTTACCTCACAGACCTGAAAAAAACTGCATCTGGCTGTGTCATTAACGCTGTCCAAGTTACCCTTTAGAGCAATCAGATCAGCATCTTTTAATAGTTTTAGCTTTCATTATTGAGACTGCAGTGGAATCTAAGTCATAGAATCTCCATTGTTAAATCAGTCCCCATTTTTTGTTGTTTTTGTACGTCTCACCTTCTGATTTAAATGTTCGATTGGAGGTTATTTTTGTTCGGCTGCAAGAAGTTGTCAATCAAATTCTGCACAAGGTGGCGCAATTCTTCTTTCAATGCCTCATAGTCACTGGAAAAAACAAATAATTTCATTGAATAATGTCTCTATCTACTTAAATACCCCACCAATTAGAGAACACCTAGTCCAGTCCGAAATGTAGCAATATCAGAGGTTGCATTTTTTTTTGCTATATTTTTAAAAAATTGGATATGATGTAGAATAGACATTGATAAATCAAAAAAGTATGTGCAACATTTTTTTTTTCATA